CGAGGACGGACGGTGGGGACCGCCTACCATGCGGAGGAGGATCTACTGATCCTGCGGTGCCATGTGAGCAAAAGATCCCGAGAGCGAGTCCAACTGGCGAGGGCGCCGGCGACCTATGACCATGCAGATTCTCTGGAACCGCAGGCGGTGGCCATGGACGTCGACGACCCTCAGGAGTCAAGTGGCGCAGAATGCGCAGCGTCAACCTCTGAACTCGGTGGTGAAGCTGTGATACTCGAAGGAGGTGCGTGCAAAGGAGTGGGCCAGGCCTCTGAAGCGTTGTGGCACGCTCGGATGGGACATCTGAACCGGGGAGACTTGAGGGTGGTCCTCCGGCAGACCGGCATTCCGTACCGACCGCTGACGCAGGCGCAGCTGCTGGCAACGCCGCAGTGCCCGGCGTGCATGTCGGGTAAGCAGCATCAGAAGAGGAACTCCCGTGCAAGACGGCCACGTCTGCATTCAACGAGAATTTTCGAAATGATCCATTCGGACATCATGGAGATGCCGATTGCCAAAGATGGCTCCAGGTACGTGATCACCTTTACTGACGATTATTCTCGTGGCTCGTGGGCCTATGCCATGAGATGGAAGCATGGAGCGCTCCAGAAGTTCCGACAATTTGAGGCCTGGGTGCACCGACAGTTCGGCGCCCAGATCAAGAGGTTCCTCACCGACAATGGGAGAGAATACTTGCCCGTCGGAACACACCTCGAGTCCCAGGGAGTCGAGTTTGACACCTCGCCGCCATACTGCAAAGGGCAGAATGGACTGGCCGAACGCACGAATCGCACTATCCGGGAGCGGATCAACACGATCTTGTCTGATGCGAAACTTCCTCCTTCCTGGTGGACCGAGCTCTTGGACACGGTGGTCTATCTGAAGCTGCGCGCGCCAGCATCAATTTTGCAGAAGAAGACGCCGTTTGAAATTTTACACGGGAAGCCGCCTCAGCTGTCGCATCTACGACGCATTGGCTCCCGTGCCTGGGTATTGATCCCGAAAGAGCATCGAGCGAAACTCGGACCCCGATCATCCGAGTGCCGATTGCTAGGTTATTGTGAACCAAACCAGTACAAGCTGTATGAAACTCATTCAGGGAAGACAGTCTTTTCCCGTGATGTCGAGTTCGATGAGAGGACCCCTGTGGCGCCACTCATCGAGGGGGAAACAGGCAACGACCTCCCGGACAACGCTCCTCCATCACCTGTCTTTCCACCAGCGGTGCCACCTCCATCCAGCGCATTGCCTACGCCACCTGCATCGCCTCCGGACTTGGCTGAACGACTGACAACGCCATCTCAGCATCCGGAGGAAACACTTCCACCGGTCAATCCAATCGAACAGGAAGCAGAGTCCACACAGGATCTCGGCTATTCCATCTATGGCCGCAGAAGAAGACCCCCACGGCGCTTACTGGAATCACTTGGCAAGGTGTATACCGCAGGCGCACTGAATACCGCATCTGCGAGCACAGTCGATCCATCGACTTTTCACGAGGCCGTGTCGGGCCCGAATCAACTGGAATGGTGGGCAGCCATCCAGGAAGAATATGCGTCTCTTCTCGAGCACAGAACATGGGAAAAGGTTCTGCGAACAGACGTACCCGTCGGAGATCATGTGATTGGCTGCAAATGGGTCTTCAAGACCAAAGCCAACGGAACGCGCAAAGCGCGACTGGTCATCAAAGGCTACCGGCAGAAGCATGGCATCGACTACCATGAAACATTGGCTGCGGTGTCACGGATGGACTCGGTCCGCTGCATCATCGCCAGCGCCGTATTGCGCGGATGGAAGCTTCACCAATTTGATGCGGTCACTGCATTCTTACATGGTGACGTAGACTCGTCCATCTACATGGAGTTGCCCGAAGGCTTCGAAGAGCCAGGCTATGTATGCCGGCTTCGCCGCTCTTTGTATGGTCTCAAACAGGCCCCGCGGATTTGGTACCAATGCGTCCACCGCGTGCTGGCCGCTCATGGCTTCACCATGGCACAAGCGGACAACTGTGTGTTCTACAAATCCAATTGCGTGATCTGTGTCTACGTCGATGACTTTCTCGTTGCTGCAGCAAACTCACACGAGATAGACCAAGTGCAAAGAGCATTGGAAACAGAGTTCCAACTGAATGACCTCGGTACCCCACGCTCGTTCCTGGGCATCCAGTTTGACTTCCAGGCCGATGGATCTGTGTCCATCCACCAACACCAGTATATCCAAAAGGTTCTCTCCGACTTTGGCATGGAAACCTGTCAGACGAAGAATACGCCGATGAATCCCAAGCAGGTCTTGAATCGCCGTCCAGACGAAGAACCTCCAGACGAGGAAACAAAAGCACGATTCGCCACCGCCATCGGATCATTGATGTACCTGATGGTCGGAACGCGACCGGATATCGCGTTTGCGCTGGGCACGTTGAGTCGCTTCACATCTCAGCCACAATCGCACCACCAGGTCGCCCTGCAGAGATTGCTTCGCTATGTCAAATCTACGCAATCCCATCGCATTACATACCGCAGTGGCCAATTGATTGGATATACGGATGCCGACTTCGGCGGCTCCGTCGTCACTGATGGAGCCTACTCGACGTCCGGCTACGTATTCCAACTTGTGGGTGCGCCGGTTTCCTGGTCATCTAAGAGACAGGGGGAAGTAGCCACATCTACGACCCATGCCGAGTACATTGGACAATACAATGCCATTTTGCATCTACAGTGGCTCCGCACCTTCCTGGCCGAAACACAACTGTATCGGTCCCCGGTCACCAACATCATGGCCGACAACCAATCCGCCATTGCGCTATCTCGCAATCCCGAATTCCATAAACGGACGAAGCACTTTAACGTGAAATTTCACTATCAGCGAGCCGTGCTGAATACAGGCGAGATTGGGCTTCAATATGTTCCGACTGAGGAACAGGCCGCAGACGGTCTCACCAAGCCATTGGGGCCTACAGCCTTTGCCAAGTTTTGTAGTCTCTTAGGAGTCGACGCCTCGGAGACTCCAAGACAACATGCGTGACAGCGCAGGCGCTCTTTCCACTTTGTTTTCCCACGAAGGTTTTTTAAGTGGTTTTACCGAGGCCTGACTGCTCTGCGCAATTCCAGTATCGCCCTGCCAGCAAAGCGACCCTGAGGGGGAATGTTGTGATATGAGGCTGGTGCAGATCAGGAACCAAACCGCATCATCGGAATTAATCCCGACTTATGTATGCGAAGAATCAAGTTGATTTCCAATCAACTTGATCTTCTCGTTGTATATATAGACTCATGTTTCCCTCTGAAATAATAAGCAATTGATACCTCTGAACTACAACAGATATCGCAGCTGTTCTTATTTTGCAATTTACTGATCGCTCAGCCTCATTGCTTAGTTTTGCCCCCCGTAAGAACTCTGATGATAACGATGGTGACAACGTATCGGAGGCAACACTTCTTACGTCAACTCGGCCAGGAGGAATAAGCCATCAACAGAAGACGATCAAGACAGAGTTATGGGGACTTCTTAATTCTTGGCTGAACAAAATCCCCAGTGAAATGCCACCGTGTGCTTTGCGTGCCGACTACAACCCAATACCCTCTGAAATCCCGAAATCCGTTATTGGTACACATGACGAACGGGACTTCGACTATTATGTCTTTCGTGTGCATATCCAACGAAAAGGAAACCCGATTGACTTTTGTATCTTGATGCTAGAGGATGGGGACGACCAATTCTTCGTTATGAAGCGCGGCGGTCGACGTTATAAGCATTTATTCAAATGGCTAGGAAGAAATACAATAAAATCATAATCCACCGCCAAAATTAACTTCAAGGATGCCCCAGAGACGAGAACGATACAATCTAGGCCACGCACAAATAGAACCAGAGAGCCCAAGCCTCAAAGCCCAGTCGGTGAGTTTCTCATTATATCGCAATTAATGCCTCTAATCTTGGAATGCAGACTCTACTCCTTCAACGAGAAGTCGATTCATCAACGGCACCAGATACCGCCCATGGGATCTAACTATGTCATCTACAGTCAAGGATATCTTTAGTGAAGCAAGTAAATTCTATGGCACGGAGCCACGTGGTCTTCTATACCAAGTAGATGGAGAAACAGATGACCTTCTACCATGTATGCTAAAAAACACCGAAGATTTTGAAATCTTTAGGTCATGCATACTACGGGACTGCCCTGGGCTAGTTAATTTTTGGCCCTACGACTGACACTGACCTTGTCATTGCGTTATTGATTGTTTGTTTACGTATACCATGCACTTAGCTTTCATGTATTTCCTTAATATGCACGTCTTCTCGCCACGAAAGGCTGATCGCAACGCAGGGATTTGATTGGTGGAGGAGGTGCAGCAGGAGTTAGAGTCCACAAATGCCGCTCTCCAGGATCAGGTCCCGTAGAATGATATTCAGCTGGTATTGGATCAGGCACACGGGGATACGGTGTCAATGACCACTTGATTTTGGAACACTGTCGATGCCCTCCAGAACAAACGACTGGCATCTTATTTGCCAGGCTCTGGGGTCATCCACGCAGACTGGCCCGAGCAGGGAGTCCTGGCTACTCAGGGCCACGATTTCCCCTCCAACGCCGCTTCATCGCTACACACTGGGTGCTTCCACATCCGAGCTCGGATTCTTTTGTTTCGAAGATGCAAGTTCGGAAGACCGGGAAATGGAAATACCGTTGGTGGGCTAGTCATCATCCCGCTTTGACGCAGGCCTTTCCATATACAGATGAAGCTTTTCCACCTCTAGTAACAGCAGCGGTATTTCCGGATCTCCCAGTAGACGGGTGGATGGTGTCAAAAAATCATGGACATTCACCTTCAACCACCTCGACTACCTTCTGTACGTGGTAATATTTGTCACGGGTTCGATTAGATCCTATGTTCAGGCATGCGTAGCATTTGAAGACCTATACTGCTTTTTCGATTATGCGTCTATCGAGTCGACAGGCGGAAATGAACTTTTAGATTACCTAGCCCTTAGCTTAGGTGAGATCATAAGAGGAGGTCTTTGGTGGGCATGGTGCTCAGCTTTTCCAGTACTGGAGAGATATTGAGGCTTGCATTCACATGCAAGCTCTCAAGAAGCTCCAGAACACTCGGAAGGTCCAATACATTATTGATCACATTGGTATCCGCGACGGGGCCTTTCCTTATCCACTTGGACCGACTAAAGTGCCAATCCAAGAGCATTTCGGTTGCAACGCGGCCAGGGAACTCGAAGACGCCACCATCTGAGACGACGCGACTAATTGATCTAGTATCAATGTTGAGAGATAGCACCAGCGTCCCGTCGCACCTTATAAGGGAGGTTCCCTTGGAGATACAACGCTTGTCTTTCGTTCTCGTCCAGCTGGTGATTTCAATGATTTGCTTGGCGCAGTTGACGAGGAATTCGAAGGGCAGCGCGTGCAGGTTTCCGCTGATGAGACTATACTCGTGGAGGCCGCATCTTTTATCGCAGGTGTCAATGTCGAGCTGATTAGGGGTCATGATGACATGACAACCATGAATGTTTTTCCTTTCGAAGTCAGTGATTGGCTTCTTTGTACGAGCTAGAGAGCACAAGGAAATACCCAAAAAGTTTTCCCAAAGATATAGGGTCCCCACCCTAATTCAAGAAGAACCTTCGAAAGAGAGAAGGATGATATGTATCGAGGCGAAGTTCTTGACACAGGTCCATGGCATAAGTTTCGTGAGCCAACATATAATTATTTAAAAGTTTGCTACAGCCTATATTCGACCTGTCATCTGTTTATGTATGACGTAGAATTGGAAATAGCGGTGAGCTAGCTTAATAGGTGTCAGAGCATGAAGCAGTAAATTGCCGCTAACTGCTTGATTGGTCACATAGGATATGACTTGCTTTATGTTTTGTATGTAATATTGCAAAGTAACGAATAACGCGTGGTCTTGACAGTCTCGAACAGCATCCAACTAGACAGCTTTGAGGGTATTCCTGTGATTGTAGTTAATGTCTACTTTTTTCGATCTTTTATCCTTTGAAGCATAACTCACATTTTATACACTTTGGTTTACTTCAAAGTTATGATCAAGTTCAACCGACCTTTCGGGGCCGTTTTTGAGGTCCTCAAGCTTCAGGATAGTGGATTGCATCATTGCTCTGGCCCTTTCAATCATCGACCAACTTTCCAGAACAACTTCATCGTGGGATTGTGGAGGGAAGCCGAGAAAGACTTGGTCAAGGGAGAGCAGTGTTCGTTGTAACAAGTCAATACACTCATCAGGACTTGGGTTAAAGTCAAGACTTCTGAATAACCGCTGGCTGTTCTCCATGCAAGATTCAGCGGCTATCGTTTGGGAAAGCATTTCAAAACATATTTGAGCCGTATTTATGTCTTTGTTGTTCTCGTCCAAACACAGCGAAGCAGGGATAGACGGCTTAGATGGAGGAGCGAGGTTCCGAATAGTCATGTCGATGGCCGAGAGGTTGTGCGAGCCAATTGTTAGGTGTAAGTAAGGATGGTCCCACAAGGAGGAGAGTTACGGCAAAAATGACCGCCCTCGGCTTTCACGGATTTCTAGAACCCTTTATATGAAGTGGGTGGCAACCTGGAGCGGGGTTGCGCCAACGATCTACCAATGACCGTCGTTTTGCAAGGATTGCCGCCTGCAACCTCTGCCTGTGTTGTAGACTTCCGCAAAGCCCAACTTTGGGCATTTTCATGCAAAAACTTCCTAGATAGGGATAATTTATGCAAAATCATGGGCTTTTTCTCTAAAAAAAGTCCACTCGGCCCCACTTTAATGGGTCGAGTTCGGGCTTTGCGGAAGTCTATGTTTTGCCCATCACATCATCCCGTGTCTTGGCTGGGGGACTTCCAAATTAGCATCCAATGATATCGCCCCGCCGCTATCAACAATACGCGCACGGACACTTAACCGAAAGCCTGAACCAGTAACTTGGAAGAATGTATGTATTTGTATAAATATAATAGCGGTTAATTCGCATAAAATGCTAAATAGATTGTGGGAAATTATCATCTGTCCATTGCATTCCATCCACCCCAAAGCTAATATCTACCGGTACCTGGGTAGAGCATTAAATCAGTGAATTTCGCATGGTTGGCTTCGGAACCCGCGGTGGGCTTAGGTGGTGCATGTTCAGGCCACAGATCACCAGACCGATACCAGCAAACTCCAGCTGAATCAGTGAATATCAGTAGCTTCTGGCAATCATGGGGTGCGGCTGAAGTCAGCACTCTAGTCGGCGGCTGCTGAGACCGAATGATTGGCCGAATTAGCTTGTCTTTGATATTATTATAGGTCAAGTGGGGCTGGCGCTAAGTGAAACGGGCATCTCAATTTGGTAGAAAGGTCCCGCTCGATGGCGTCTACTTGAATTGCTAACCTTGAGATGAACCACAGTGCTTAGTCCGAATTTGCCCAGGATCAAGCACCGCGAGGAACCTATCAAAGAGCAGCTCCGCGACAGCAAATAGCCGTCGCTTGTCGGTCCTGTCGGCGCCTCAAGGTACGTGAGATACTTCCAAACCACCCGGCCGTGATGGCGCACTGATATTACTCTGCTTAGATCCGTTGTTCAGGATTCGAAACCTCCGCGGATGGACGGTGCAGCAGCTGTTTTAAATATAACCAAAATTGCGTTTTTATTCCAGTCTCATCACAAACTCAAGCCTTCGTGCCCGCACACGCCGCATACCCTCATCTTCTGACTGGCCCGAACGGACCCGTAGCACCTGGCCCAGAAAGAACGGGGGCCACCAGCCCTGCACGGCGCTCATGGACAACCACTGCCCCCTCAGCAGCAGCCGCAGGACCATGAGACCATCCTGCCGCCGCCTCAAGAGATGTATTATCAGAACGGAACTACCCCCAATGGGTGGTGCTCGCTGCCACCCCTTGCGTCAGACATGTCTGGCATGGTAAAGCAGCCATTTCCCCCTTCTGCGAAAAGAAGAGATGACCGTTGTAATGTGTTAATTGCATAGACAGCCCGCCGAGTCCGCATGGATCAGTTCTCCTCGGAACACAGCTGATGCTTCCTGACTCAGGCCGCCGAAGTTAAGAACCTCAAAGGAGTTGCAGCACAGATCGCTTGCCTGCGATCTAATGCGGGCTGTGTGACGGGTATTGAGATAAAAGCTCTTTTGTACGTATCAGCAATATGCCCTGTGTCATTATACGGAGTATATCGCCCATGTTTTTTGTTTCGTTGCTTACGTGGAAGACGTTCGAATCGGCACGTGCCTCGACAGTCATTTCGGCGCATGAGAAGGCCCCTAGCAAAATTCGGAGTCGCCATGACCCTGTCTGGCAAACGGCGAGGTTGTCAAACACAGCGAAACCATTCGCAGGTTGGTGGGGATGGAACTGCATATTAGAGGTCAAGCTTCCTTGTAGTCCCCCGCTTGTTTTTGCACCGTATTCGTCGACGAGAGACACATTGATGGCAAATGCTTGCGTTGGTGCCCTTGGGAGTCCCCTGGACTCTCCGAACATCACCATCACGGATACAGTAAAAGAATCACCATTTTGTATGATGGGAGGAGGCTCTCGTGTGAACCTGATAATGGTGTCATAGCCAGGCGAACCTCCTTGCTTTTCAACGGGCCCTAACATCATGTGTTGCTTTTCCTGTCTTCGGCTTATTTCCCGTGGAAACAATTATATAGGTTAAGTCTGATAGTGCAGAGGTGACTAATGGAAGGTGCAGATAGACAGCAACTAAGTGAACCTGTCTAAACGTATAACCATTGTATTCGTTGTCGGTCTTCGTCTTTGCTTTTGTAGGAAATCTATAAAATGTTGGGAGCCACCCCAAGCTCCCAGCATGGAGGAGGCATGTGGCTTTCTCATTTGTAGGTCTGTGCATCCCGTTCAAAATACTGCGTGCGTGGTAAGATTGTTTTTCTCTTTCAAATCCCGTTCAAACCCCGGCCCACGCATGCGACCTGTATAAAAAACATCGTGAATCTGGAATTTAGCCCCCAATCGCCCTTGAGGCTGATACGGTCACAGCCATATGCAGGATTGGTTAGATTGCTCCACCCCACATTTTTGTATAGTTAGCTGTTATTTCAAGGTAAGATGGGCTCTTCGGTTTGTTGAGGGGCCACTTTCTGCGGCCCCACAATCCGGCGAACCCAATTTCAAGCGCTTTTCCTATCACGAACATGTGGCAGGCCCGGAAAGGTAGCGTCGGTTGCAAATTGAGTTCCAGGCACATTGAGCGTTATGTTGCTTCTTTTAGTTGGACAGGCGAGGATGGGCGCGGCAAGGTATTGAGCCTCTTATCTCATTTTCGCCGATTACCCCCAAAATTGCTCGTTCCTGCCTTGACGCCTCTAAATACCGCACGCCCAGATAGCTTTCGGCCGTTGTTGCAGCAAACCTGACTCAGCCTGGTAGGAAGATAAAGAGCCGGTATAGGGGAAGGGAAGGGAGGGTCAGTGATGGTCGCAGCTGAAGATTGGGAGACTAAATTTGAGGGGGTTACAACGATGGCTCAAATGTTCAGCATTGATCAGCGGTGAATAAACGAGAAATGAAAGACCTACAGCTCACATCACCCATTTCAGGTGGAGCATGCTTGCTCTAGGGCGCTACCGATGCGCAACGCAAGGTCAAGCAAATGGAACAATGCCCGTTCCTCCGAAGCACGCGTACCTTGCTCCAAATTCTCTTTAATCATGCGAAGACAACGAGACATCCCCCTTGAAGTAGTGCCAACCAGAGTACACGAAGGAAAATGCAGGGGTCTGGTAAATGGGAATCGGTATTAAACAGTTGCAGTTTGCTCAAATAGACGTCATTTTTGGCGTTTGAAACAAAACACCCAGACCGAGGAAACCAATCGCTGCGTCTACTTGTTGAGGATGCGAAGAAAATATAAGGAGGTACGTGACAATACACCATGTACTGGTAAACTAAACCGGGGAGACAACTAGAATGAATAATCACTACCAAGCATGTTAGGTATCCAAGTGGCGTCTACGTGATACATTACCAAGCGGCTCGGATCGTTGAGTCTGGCTTGCAAGTGGAAAGCCGCTGGTGATCCCTCCTATTCAAGGACTACTCGCCGGCTGATAATGTGCAGGCCCTCGCAAGCTTGCTCGATCTCGCCGGCGTCTTCTCATCTACGGGCCCTGTTTGATTTGATCGGCCGTCGCTATGTTGCCCCACTCGGAATATCTCTCATCTTCATAGGAATGATAGTCAACAACATGGAATTTGGGTGTGAGATGCAAGGCCAAATCTAGCAGACGAAGGAAAAAGCAGTAAACACAGACATCTTCCTGAAACTATTACTTAAGACGTTAATCTCCCAACACACGAGGAAGGTATATCAGCCGGTGTCGATGCCAGAGAGCAGAAACAGAACCATCCAGGTTATCACGCCAGAAGGAGTACCACAAGTCCTCTCCTTAGCTCTGTAGAGGGCTGAAGAGGTTCGGCTTTTTGTAAAGCACCCTGCCGTGACCTTTTTGCCGTATTGTGTTTGCTATTACTCACTTCTCCGTTGAATCCGATCATGAGGAGTGAACCTGACGTAGGTTGTGGGTTGGCCCTCCCTGTTTACCCCACATTTTCATTGGCAAGAACCGTGCCTGGAGCCACAAAAGACAATTCAATGACTCGCAAGCCCCATGAAAACCGACCCTTCATAAGCCACGACTAATTGGATGTAGCAGTTTACCGAGGATGATGGTTGATCAATGAGCTAATAGCAAGTTGAAGAATCCACAGGTGCAGACATAGGCAAAAGGCCATGCGTTAAAGATAATGAAATAGGTAATAAAATAGCGGAACTATGCTGAAGGGATGAAGAACGGAAAAGAAGTTACTTTTATTGAGCCTGTAGGTCTGACATAACCAGCGAAGTTGAATTCCTTGATGGAAGCGAAAGCAGAGCCCAGGAAAGGCGGTGATGCATGGGTGTTCGATCGAGGATGGGTAAAATGAATGCATCGACTTCCAAATTTTAACCGAGAGCTGGACTCTGGTACTGTACATTAGAGATCAGATGGCGCTGATCATTGAAAGAGAGAGTCTCCTGCCTCCACGACACCGAGGGTTATAATCATCAATCCTAGTCGTTGACCTAGCATGATTCAGCTCTTCCGTTTCAATGTGGCGCCGTGGACAGCGAGCTTTCATGCAAATATCGATCAGATCCGAAAACGGAGTACAGGTATTTGATGAACCCCAAGAGATGCGATTATTCGCTTGGTATAGCCTCAATAGAATTGTTGTCTTGTTGTTGCTGGGTGAGCTCACTGCCACAGATATCCCTGGTAGCGTACCCGCTCGGGATCACTCATACTCATATATGTCCCGCTTGTCGTTGACATCATACTACTTGCACTGGCCGCGCTTCTTGGACTGAGGACCATACGGGATGCTTTTCGGGTAGGGTGTAACCGGCCCTTACATTTTTTACCAAAATTACAGACCCTCGCATAGCGAGGGTCCGCCATCCATACCGTACATCCCATCCAAACCGTAGATTTTTTATACATTTTACTTTGACTACCATTTAGTATACCACCACGTAGTAAATTAATTAATTTAAAATTGTAAATAAATCAATTAACCAAATTGCTACTAGTATACAATATTAGATCAATTTCCCCTGCGTTTTTTCGCTCGTCCATGCTTCCTAATTTCGACCAACACCTTCTTCCACTTCCGCTTCGTTTTTTCTTGATCGGCTTTCTCAGTCAATTTATATTCTTTTCGCTTCATTTCTTTGACTTGGGATGAACTGATAATGCCAGTTACCTGAGTATAGCGTCGAGAAGCATCATACCGGGCGTGGCGAGCACCCATAACAGCTTGTGTTGAATCGAATTCCCGCTGTAGCTGGAGAGCTAACATAGCCTGCGCTTCAGCAGGTATGTGACGCGAAATGTATGTCAATTGTTGAATATATAGTACCTTTGTCGGAACTAAAAACCAGACTGATATGGATCTCGGAGGTTGTCGCTTTTCTCAAACATAGCTGACATGAACTCAGGAATCTTGTTCTGCGAGATTATTTGATCAGACCGCATAATAGACACAGCACTTTTCAGCAGTTCAAAGCTTACCGAGGAGGGGTGACTACAGAAATACTGACACGCAGACGTCATTGATACAGATCATGCTCATTGATCTCCTGCCAGACTTGATTTAAGCTCCTACTAGATAAACCCACTTTCCCGTGGTGTCACCAGCCTCCAAAACAGGCCTTGAGAAGATAGAATGGAGTTTATCATAACGTCGAAATTGCCTGTGTGGTACAATCTCCTAGAGCATTGTTCTAGGAGTGATATTGAGCCCTGCCGGGCCATTCCATAATGGAATTTCCATTATGGTGAAAACCTCTACTCGGCTCGTTCGAAGCCATCATCACCGGCTAGTTCGTTGAATTTGGGCTTCTTACAGCGGTACGAATTCCAACAAAGAAACACTCAGCCGCCTCCGGAAACATGGGCGCCAATATAGTGAAAGTCATTGCAACCATCCCCATGGGAGAGGCTAACAGGTTTTGAGAGCTAACAATACTCTGTGCTCTACCCCAAACTCATTACAGGTAAGACGTCATATTACGGAAACATGCCACCCCAAGCTGCTTTATGAATCTCCTCTTTCTTAAGAAGATCATCCGGAACGGATCCCTTAACGTAAGATTTGGCTTTCATGTAGAAAAGGCTTCGAGCCATCTGTATAACAGACAAAGTGGTTTCTTTTGACACCCGACAGGTCATGTCGCTATCCCTGCTTCTGTAATGTTCTAAATCATTCTTGTTTTAGCATTGAGAAATGGTTCAATCACGAGTTATATTAATGGTAACACACCATCAAGGCGACAATGTACCCGCCCAATCGCCATATCAAGCTCTACCGACTTCAACCACCATTCTGGAAACGTCGAGATGCCCTGCTCGGTGTGCTGCTGAGAACGAGAATCTGTCCAAGATTCGCCTTCACCTTGGGCCTTGGCTCGTTCCCCCTTTAATCTCTGTAGCTCATTTTCCAGATCTGCTATCCTCAGAATTCTTTGTCGATCGATATCCGCCATATCAATTTGAGCCCTAGAGTTTGGTGAGGAAAGATACGACGTAGGAGATAGACCATGAAGGCACAGTCAGGAGTCTTTGAGTACTGTGTCCAGGGGTATCCCTCGTGTTTGTATTTATAGTCCTTGATGAGCACATACACTGTACGTGCCACCACGGCACGTCTAGGTATCGTTTTGTGTGCCACACCGCCATTTTGATCACAAAGTCTCCGACCTCTGATTCGCCGTAAGTCTTGACTCATAACACCATTGGACTGATGGTATTGATACAGGTCACATAATCTACTCTGGTCAAAGTCCAGTAAAACCGTATCGCCCGCGCCTAGACATGACTTCAAAGAACTCTGCACCTAAAACATCAGGTAAGACAGTCGTGAAAAATAGCCTTGCTTCAGTCATTTGAGATAGTGAAAACCGCTCAGCATTCATGTTGACGCAGTTTCATAATACTTAATAATTACCTTGTTCCGTCCAAGACTTCTGTATTTAGAGAAGTCTTAAAAGATAGACGCCTAGACCGGATTTGTGCAGGGAAACAGAAAAAGATCCTTGCACAATGTGGTGGGTCTGTGAGCAAGGTGGGCAAGAAAATATCTCTCTGCGTGAAAGAATTCCTGAAGAGGATGGTGGGCTCCAGTCAAATCCTTCGATGCACCTAGACCATAGATTGGCGTGACCCTTGACCAATAGGAGCGTCAAACACACGTCTGAGACCGAGTCATCTCGCTAAGGACCACTCATTACAGCTGACTAATGCCGCTCGGGGACTCGTGGGGTCCCATAATGCATTCGGTTGCGCAATGCTGGGCTATGGGAGATCTGGAAAAGGGGGAGAAGAATCCACAGGAGCTGAACGCGGTGCCTGTCAGTGAGCGGATTTACTGCGTAAGCCCAAACGGTTGACCGGGATGATTGGGACAAGGCTCCTGTCGTTGTTTGCGGAATGAACAGGATGTGACACAATACACAGTTCCTGCGCTAATAGCAATGGTGTGTTAGTGTTATAAATGCTTGAATTTAGTTTTCTGGCAAAGGTAACACAAGGTCACCTTGCTACACCGGCAGCAGAGGTAGATATCGAGAGATTGTTCAATGGTGGGAGAGATGTGCTGGGGATTCGACGTTTCTCCATGAAAGGTAGGACCCTTGGGACCTTATTAAGGCTGAAAGATGCTGCACGTTGGAAGTCTTCATAATTATACAGTAGTAGTTTTTGGGGCATACAGGTGTTTGATATTCTAGACTATATTTGCAGAAGCATTCTTGTAGGGGCCGGGCATCTCGAAAACTCGTTCCACAGACCCTTTTTCCTAAAAAGGCTAGATATTAGTTCGCGAACCTGTTCGAAATTCGCGAATTTTGACGAATCGAATCGGCCATAGATTCGAGGCCCCGAAACCAAGGTTCGAATTCGATTCGATTCGCCGAAATTCGCGAACTTCGAACAGTTCGAAAATTCGTGCGGAGCGGTACTTACTGTTGTAGTTCAGAGGTATATGAATTAATTGTTTTCTCAAAGGGGGACACGAGGCTATATTTATATACACAGTGAAGGCATCTACTTGCATCATGTATCTCTTCCACGTAGAAAGAACTGGAAGCTTCTTGATCTGCAACAGCCTCATATCACAACATTCCCCCTCAGGATCGCTTTGATGGCAAGGCGATACTGGATCAACGCTGTGCAGGCAAGCCTTAGTAAAACCACTCAAAAACCTTCGAGGAAAAATAAAGTGGAAAGAGCGCCTGCGCTGTCACGTTTGTTGCCTCCGAGTCTCCGAGGCTTCGATTCCTAGGAGACTACAGAATTTGGCAAAAGCCGTAGGTCCCAACGGTTTCGTGAGACCGTCAGCGGCCTGTTCCTCAGTAGGAACATATTGAAGACCAATCTCGCCAGCATTGAGTACTGCTCGCTGATAATGGAATTTCACGTTGAAATGTTTGGTCCGTTTGTGGAACTCGGGATTGCGCGAGAGGGTCATAGCGGACTGATTGTCAGCCATGATGTTGGTGACCGGGGACCGATACAATTGTGTTTCGGCCAGGAAGGTGCGGAGCCACTGCAGATGCAGAATGGCATTGTATTGTCCAATGTACTCGGCATGAGTTGTAGACGTGGCCACTTCCCCCTGTCTCTTGGATGACCAGGAGACTGGTGCGCCTGCAAGTTGGAAAACATAGCCAGACGTGGAGTATGCCCCATCAGTGACGATAGAGCCACCGAAGTCGGCATCTGGGTATCTGATCAACTGACCACTGCGGTATGTAATGCGAACGAATTGCGTAGATTTGACATAGCGAAGCAATCTCTGCAGGGCGACCTGGTGGTGCGATTGTGGCTGAGACGTGAAGCGACTCAACGTGCCCAGCGCAAACGCAATATCCGGCCGCGTTCCGACCATCAGATACATCAATGAACCGATGGCGGTTGCGTATCGTGCTTTTGTTTCCTCGTCCGGAGGTTCTTCGTCTGGACGGCGATTCAAGTCTTGCTTGGGATTCATAGGGGTAGATTTCGCCTGGCAGGTTTCCATGCTAAAGTCGGAAAGAACCTTTTGGATATACTGTTGTTGGTGAATGGAAACGGCTCCGTCGGCATGGTAGTCGAATTGGATCCCGATGAACGAACGTGGGGTTCCAAGGTCGTTCAATCGGAACTCTCTTTCCAATGCTCGTTGCACTTCGTCTATCTCGTGCGAGTTTGCTGCAGCAACGAGAAAGTCATCGACGTAGACACAGATCACGCAATTGGATTTGTAGAACACGCAGTTGTCCGATTGTGCCATAGTGAAGCCATGAGCGGCCAGCACGCGGTGGACGCATTGGTACCAAATCCGCGGGGCCTGCTTGAGACCATACAAAGAGCGGCGAAGCCGGCATATATAGCCTGGCTCTTCGAAGCCTTCGGGCAATTCCATGTAGATGGACGAGTCTACGTCACCATGTAAGAATGCAGTGACCGCATCAAATTGGTGAAGCTTCCATCCGCGCAATACGGCGCTGGCGATGATGCAGCGGACCGAGTCCATCCGTGACACCGCAGCCAATGTTTCATGGTAGTCGATGCCATGCTTCTGCCGGTAGCCTTTGATGACCAGTCGCGCTTTGCGCGTTCCGTTGGCTTTGGTCTTGAAGACCCATTTGCAGCCAATCACATGATCTCCGGCTGGTACGTCCTCTCGCAGAACCTTTTCCCATGTTCCGTGCTCGAGAAGAGACGCATATTCTTTCTGGATCGCTGCCCACCATTCCAGTTGATTCGGGCCCGACACGGCCTCGTGAAAAGTCGATGGATCGACTGTGCTCGCAGATGCGGTATTCAGTGCGCCTGCGGTGTACACCTTGCCAAGTGATTCCAGTAAGCGCCGTGAGGGTCTTCTTCTGCGGCCATAGATGGAATAGCCGAGATCCTGTGTGGACTCTGCTTCCTGTTCGATTGGATTGACCGGTGGAAGTGTTTCCTCCGGATGCTGAGATGGCGTTGTCAGTCGTTCAGCCAAGTCCGGAGGCGATGCAGGTGGCGTAGGCAATGCGCTAGATGGAGGTGGCACCGCTGGTGGAAAGACAGGTGATGGAGGAGCGTTGTCCGGGAGGTCGTTGCCTGTTTCCCCCTCGATGAGTGGCGCCACAGGGGTCCTCTCCTCGAACTCGACATCACGGGAAAAGACTGTCTTCCCTGAATGAATTTCATACAGCTTGTACTGGTTTGGTTCACAATAACCTAGCAATCGGCACTCGGATGATCGGGGTCCGAGTTTCGCTCGATGCTCTTTCGGGATCAATACCCAGGCACGGGAGCCAATGCGTCGTAGATGCGACAGCTGAGGCGGCTTCCCGTGTAAAATTTCAAACGGCGTCTTCTTCTGCAAAATTGATGCTGGCGCGCGCAGCTTCAGATAGACCACCGTGTCCAAGAGCTCGGTCCACCAGGAAGGAGGAAGTTTCGCATCAGACAAGAGCGTGTTGATCCGCTCCCGGATAGTGCGATTCGTGCGTTCTGCCAGTCCATTCTGCCCTTTGCAGTATGGCGGCGAGGTGTCAAACTCGACTCCCTGGGTCTCGAGGTGTGTTCCGATCGGCAGGTATTCTCTCCCATTGTCGGTGAGGAACCTCTTGATCTGGGCGCCGAACTGTCGGTGCACCAAGGCCTCAAAATGTCGGAACTTCTGGAGCGCTTCATGCTTCCATCTCATGGCATAGGCCCACGAGCCACGAGAATAATCGTCAGTAAAGGTGATCACGTACCTGGAGCCATCTTTGGCAATCGGCATCTCCATGATGTCCGAATGGATCATTTCAAAAATTCTCGACGAATGCAGACGTGGCCGTCTTGCACGGGAGTTCCTCTTCTGATGCTGCTTACCCGGCATACACGCCGGGCACTGCGGCGTTGCCAGCAGCTGCGCCTGCGTCAGCGGTCGGTACGGAGTGCCGGTCTGCCCGGAGGACCACCCTCAAGTCTCCCCGGTTCAGATGTCCCATCCGAGCGTGCCACAACGCTTCGGAGGCCTGGTCCACTCCTTTGCACGCATCTTCTTCGAGTATCACAGCTTCACCACCGAGTTCAGAGGTTGACGTTGCGCATTCTGCGTCACTTGACTCCTGAGGGTCGTCGACGTCCATGGCCACCGCCCGCGGTTCCAGGGAATCTGCATGGCCATGGGTCGCCGGCGCCCTCGCCAGTTGGACTCGCTCTCGAGATCTTCTGCTCACATGGCACCGCAGGATCAGTAGATCCTCCTCCGCATGGTAGGCGGTCCCCACGGTCCGTCCTCGGCGTTGCACAAAGACATTCTATGGGTGCGCCACCACCGAGTAGCGGTCTCGCAACAGCTTCGGCACGCTGATCAGGTTCATCCCGACGCGTGGCGCGAAGTATACATTCTTTAACACCAGGGGTTGGTTGAACTTCCCCCGGAGCGTGAGCTTCACCGTACCAATCCCTTCGGCTTCCACTGGATCGCCCGCCGTGTCCAGCATCTCGCGGTGGGGCCGCAAACTGCTGAAGCAGTTTCGATCCCAGCAGATGTGGCTGGTGGCGGCCGAGTCCAGGATCCACCGGGGTTGCGGTGCGTGGGTATAAAGGGTCGTCACCCTCGCCCTCACGATATTGATCCTCGGTCTCTTGGAAGTCGGCGGGCCCTGCCGATCTTCCATCTGGCTTGATGGTATACTTTGTAAATTGTTTCTTGGTGAGCCGGAAACACTCCGTTCAGTCTTCAGGGCATGGTCCCTGGACGACTGTAATTCTCGCTGTTTCTTCCAGCATTGCGCGACCACGTGGCCGCGCTTCTTGCAATAGTTGCATTTCTTGGCAGTCTGTTGCACCGTATTGACTGACGGGCCAGATGCTGCCTGCGGGGGTGTTGGAGCCTCTTTTCTCCGCACCGTCTGCTCAGCATTAGACAGACGGTTTCCGATCGTTGTCGGATTCACCGGATCCTTGTCATTTTGAATGGCATCCACTACCAGGATGTATTCCGGTCCGATCTGCGTCAGCAAGATCGCAATGTGTGCTCGATCGCCAATCGATCCAGGCGCGATGGCATTCAACCGATGTACGAGCAACCGTACACGATCAACGAATTCGTGCGCACTGCCGCAGCGCTCGCCGGTTGTTTCGCGAAGCTGGGCGAACAGCTCGCAAAACGTGGCGAGTTCCATTCGCCGGTATCGTTCTTCGAGTTCATTCCAGAGGTCGCGAGACGTCTCAAGTCCTGCGACATGAATGCTGATTTGGGGGGACAGGTACCGGAAGATGGTGTGGTAGGCCTCGGCTTCGCGGCGCGACCATTCACGGTGGCGCTCGAATGCCTGGACCTCCACTTCGAGGCGCGCTTCAATGGCTCGCTGCCTCACCGCCCCATTGAGGTGGGGCTCCACCAAGGGGTGGATGTCCACCGTGATAGGTTTGGCGTACTTGAATAGACAGTCGGGACGCTGAAGGTCGCCCGACACGACATCCCAGACCTGCCTCGCTTTCAGGTAGGAAGTCGAGACGTTTCCAGGTCGCGAAGTTGTCGCTTCCTGTCAAGGGCTCGATGGCCGTGATGACTCGGTCGGGCGAGTCGTGGACTAGAGCAGACATAGTGAGGATAGTTAAAGCGGGGTAGATATATACTCAAGATAGTCAGGATGATTCTCAGATGAGGAGAGACGGCACCCGAGATTTTGCTCCCGGGCTCATAACCTGTTGTAGTTCATAGGTATAAATTAATTGTTTTCTCAGAGGGAGACATGGGGCTATATATATATACACAGTGAAGGCATCTACTTGCATCATGTATTTCTTCCACGCAGAAAGAACTGGAAGCTTCTTGATCTGCAACAGCCTCATATCACAACAATAGGCAGTGATTATAGTTCTGTGGTGTATTTTTTGTTTTCGCTGACCCTTGTTCACAAAGTCGCACTAGAGCAACATCCTATATTATTATTTTAAAATTCGATGGTATTTAATTTCAGAGCCAGAGGATACCCCAGGCGTCTTTATTTACGATATTATTGTTATTTGATAGATTTATCTTCAATTACGGCGAAGGTATCTTTGTCAAGTTTCGGCACACCGCCTTATTTCGGCGCCTCATTTACACGTCAGTCAGGAGTGTCATAGTCTGTAATTGTCTAGGCTCGGCTCAAGGTTTTTGGATGTCTCTAAAAACCCTCGCGGGATTGAAGGGCCGCAGTCTAGTTTTGGACGACCATCTGGAGAGAATATTCTGAAAAGTGAACGCCTGACTGCGAGCACGGTTGTATAGATACGTAAAATGCTGCTTCCCAATAACCGTGCCAAGCGCCCAACACACCGCTGTGTATTGGGCGCTTGGCACGGTTGAGGGTCAAAAACATGCTGGGTCGAATACAGACTTAGGGTTTTAATTCCAAATTTTTGATCGGCCACCACACCTTTTATGGCTGAATTAAATACTCCAAAATTTGAGGACCATAATCTCCGAGGCGTAACTTAGAATTGTACAAACTTTGAGTTCAATCCTCGTACGAAAAGTAATTCCAGTCTACTCATGAAAAGTAATTCCAGTCTACTTACTCATGGCCCCACTTTTTCCCTCCATAGTTAAGCCAAAGTCCTAACTAATTCCAGTCTACTATATTGCGCCCACCCACCCCCATGGGGATAGTGGTGGAATTTCCCCCAAATTAAACTGGACGACAGCTGGGACGTCTAATTACCCCTGAATCTCATCTTAGCCCCGTATTCATCTAATTAGATCTTGGACTGATCAATTTGTTAACCCCAATGTTGATGTTATGGGTGGGCTCTGAACCCTCCAACGGTCGGTTTTGGCCACGCCTCCTATCTCCTTGATCCTTGTCGCCGTCTACTGTCAGCCTTAGCTATACCACGGTTATCCCCAGACCCACGTTGGTATGACTATGGGAGTCGGACCACTGGCAGCGGATCATTTTTGACAATGTGGAGAATAATTACGAGCAATTCACTTGTTTCGTCTGCTCATACGAATCAAGAGTGTACGAGATGCGACTACGGACGACGTCGACTTTGACCCGTCACACCCTCAAAGCAATACCCATGTGCAACGTCTGCCTCGCGCCTCATCTCAGGTCAGCAATGTCACCGTTAACGGACAGCTCACTGAATTCCAAGCCTCGGGGGACGCCGTTCCGGGAGGCCACCCCAAAACCGCGTCAAATACGAATGACTTATGTAGCGGAGATACTACTCGGATTATTTGTTCCTTGGGGCCAGTTACCAGCGCTTTTTCAAGAGCACGCTAACGATGTGCCGACGAAGCGCGATGCCTGCTCCCACATATGGAAAATTGTAGAGCTGACGCTCACCCCGCATATTCGAGGATTTGCAGCAAATATTGAGCTCCTGCGGCAGTCTAGGGAAGACAGTCTAGCTGATGCGAAACTTCATGAAGCGCCAGTTCGCGTTGATAGTTCATTTGACCGCGATATTGATGAGCTCAGAATAGACAACTTTGACTCCGATGCTGACGATTCTCTTGCGGACCTGGATGAAGTATTAGCATCGAGAGTCTGATCGCGGCCTATCACACCATCGCTAAAAGTTGGGACCGTGAAACGCTTCTTGCTGGGCGACGCATCCCTTCCTTGATACACGCAACAACTATCAATCGAGGACCGCCGCTGCATAACCTTCTGCCTCTCAGCGAGTTTGAGATCCCTGCGTACAGGGCCTCTGGCCTCGCCTTCTTCCCGCCATCCACTTTACAGCAATGGGAGTCTCGACTCAAAAAACAGGCTAAGTTTGGTGAACATGGAGCTGTACATAGTGGAGAGCTTGAAGGGGACTATGAACTGGACGGCTTTAGTTTGGACATTGGCGATGCTATCTTGGAGCCTATGCTTAATGAGCCGGAAGTGATCCCTACCCTGGCTGACCAGAAGTCCTATGTACAGGACAGTTCCACGCCTACCTCTCTAACTTTACTTGTCACCGAAAGTATGCCCTTGAATGCTAAACAGCGCCTGGTTGTCAGAAAGGTGTTAAGCGAAGCACTGGACTGGGCGAACCATCCTTACGATGCTTTGAAACGACATCAAACGCTTCTTTATGTTGGGGGTGAAGGAGGCGTGGGTAAAAGCGGAGTCCACCAAAGGCCACTAGACTCCATACACTGCTTTGTTCCATTGCGCGAGGATTGGCATTGGTAAACAAAGCCTACGGGGTTTGCACACCCAGTATTATTTGCTCACTCTAATCTAAAAGGAATGTGTGGTGCAGGATACATGTATTTTAAAGAAAAGACGAGTCGATGTTTATCATGTGTTGCCAGCATCTTTCCCAGAAAGGTGCCAAGTACACTTGGCATAGCGAGCTCGTATCTTATAACATCATATCGGCAGAGCAGGGTCACTATGAAATAGTTGAGCATCTCCTGGGGTATGGCGCAGATAACAATGGCCCACCTGTCACGACGTCTGGCCGAACAGCTCTTCAGGCTGCGGTCAATAAGGGTTATCGTGATATCGAGCGCATGCTTCTCTCCTATCTTGTCGAAGGACATGCTCAGCCGACTCCTTATCTCAGCTAGATAACGACAGTATATTAGCACACTTACCTAAGGACCATCCATCTCGTGTGACTTTCTCTTTTACGGCACATGAAACATATCGGGGACTTTCAAAGGACCAATTGTTGAGAATCTACAACAGTTTGTATACAGTGTTTTGGCCCTTGGGTTGTTTTCTAATGCTTCGAAGTGTATTTAGAGATCTATATTTCAAGTAAATCTAACATTCGTTACATACATTATTACTACGCAGTCATCAATTTATGGATGAGGACAACATCTCAAAATGATGATAATTATATATATATTCTTTTTTTCATTTTTAGGTCACACCCTTATATATGGGTCATATTTTATATATATATATATATATATATAAATATATATTTTAATTATTTGTCATTTTCATGAAATATGTAATTATATATACGATATCTAATAATAACTAACATAAATTATTAGAATATGTATATATATAATGGAAAACTTGCAAACGTCCGTCAGTTCCGCTTGGATATTTCACCACCCATATTGGAAGAAAAACGTTCCCCATCGACTAGCCCCGCTAAGCCAAAATGTACTTCAAACTATCAAATTCGGTTCTCGCATTTATCTTTTCCCTAAACATCGCTGCTGTGGTGCATGGAGCTACTACTGCCGGTATGTCGAACTCTAGATCCAAAAATATGTACCACATTGTGGTCTACCAAAACGCCAGGTGTACCGGAGAGGCTATTACATACTCTGGTGACTCTGGGGATTGCTTCGACGGATTGGGCAGCGGCGGTTCGGGACTTCAACTCTTGGCATTGGAGAATGGCGGGAAGCTTGTCTTCTACGGTCAACCCGGATGTCCAGATAATGAGCAAGTCGCCGCCAGGTTCATCCACGCAAATCAGACTGGCCTTGGCTGCAAGCCGTTGAGCGGAAACCCCGTGTCATTTAAGTTTTTGGGCGCCTAGAGTTTCAGATAGCAGCTACGTCGGGCTGTACTTTATAGAGAGCGAATAGAAGCAGAATTAAGCTAGACTATGGCCGCTTTGAGAAGGTTGTTCACAATGTTTTCCCAAAGTTATGGCTGTTGAGAGGGAAGAATTGTAGGCTGCTACAACCTACCGGGTGGAACGTCGGGAATAGAGTTAGGTTGGATTAGGCTATGTTGGTAATAGCTAGAAACGCATCGCAGACGTCAGAGCCGCACTAGATGTAGCCGGTGCTGGAACCGACGTTGAGACAGTTGCTGTGGTGGCACCACAAGTTAGGCTATACGAAGACACGGTCGTTAAAACAGAGCCTACTTGATGGTTAGTAGAATATAAATCTGTCAGGTTTCCACATAGTCCTTTCAATTGACGCTGCCTTAGTCTCGCCGGATTCAGTGGGACACGAGCATTTAATATAGTTTAAAGGCCTCGAGTTCCCTTTATATACCGTCCCATCAATATCCTCATCTGCGCCAGCTTGCTCGAAGCAATTTGTGCAGGCAGCTCCTCCGCTTCATATTCAACATTAATGGTTTGGTCATTCTGCACAAGGTAACAGAGAAGAAGAATGATCTGGAACTTACCCATTCTGGAACAAAAGCTCGCCATCATCATTTCGAAGACAATCACTCTGGTTTAGGGAAGACGTGTAAACAACACCTCCGTTGTCGAAGTCCTGGCATGAATATGTCAAAACTCGAGAATCGGAGCCAAAACTGTACCAGCAGTTGTCGGCACCTGCCCACACCGACGACAAAATGAAAAGCGCGAAACTAAGGTGAGCAAACTGAATGTGGAAGGGCTAGATGAGGTGATATAACGTCCATCCCTTCGGAACCGCTTCCCGCCATGACCGCTCGTAACTAAGATACTTTGGAAGACAACCCAAAGACTCTAGCACTATATGCTGTCAGAGCTTTGCAATAAAACCCTAATAATATTGCCATTTTCTCCTTTATTTGCTACGTCTGATTTTATAGAAAATTACATTTAGTTTGGTGTTTATTTCACCGTAGAAACCTCTGCCGTCCCATGCAAAGCTTTGGGTGGCAAATTCTGCTATCTAGCAGTAGTTCATAACCAGCCAGTAGTCAGAAGGAAAACTGTCAGGATGAGGAATTGATGTACTGGCTAGTACTGAACATGTCCAATAGAATCAGGTGATTGATTGTAGGTCTTAAGATCGGTTGAACGATCTCAGGGGACTATACAAATAAGCTTCGGCGTGTTACAACACCGTACTTCCGAATGTGCCCGGAATACCGTACAAATACTAGGGGGAATTGGGTTAACGATGAATAAGCCTGTCCCAAAGGGTCCTAGTGGTATTTGACCACTCCCTCAGTTCGTCAAAATTTAATAAATTACATAGGGTTATAGGGAAAGGGTGGTGTTAACGCCCATCTCAGATATATATTTTGAACTTCAAGTTCATAAAATTCACCATTTTTATATTTTCTCCACTTTACCTAGTTAGATTTGAATTAAATTAGAAGTTTAGATATATTAGATCTATATCTATATATATCCTTTATACTAAACCTATTAAGTTAGTAGAAAATAGCTAATACAGAGAATAAAAGAGCATAAAATTATGAAAAGTTGGGTTTTACTGGGGCCCCAATGGGGCCCCAGCCTGGGTCCTGGGTTGGGTCCGGGTCCGGGTTGGATATCTCGACCCAGACCTAGGTTGTGCGATAGACTAGGCACGATTACCTGGTCTGCGGCCGTTACGGAGTACACTACCGACCGATAGAGCACAACCATTCGAAAGGAATCAGATGATTGGACCTGAATGACGGATTGGGCACGGATGCTGCAACCGGAGGTCCATGTATGTTCTGATGCCTGCACAATCGACAGGGGTATCTCGAAAAGTGCGACTTTTAGCGCCAGGCATCCACCGGCCTTCATCCGAAGAAAAGTCACCTCACAGATGTCAGTTCATCACTCAAACTTTTTGTTCTGACCCCTACGAGCTGGAATTGCTATGTCAATTGCGAACTAAGGGAAATTGAGTACGTGCAAAGAGTCTTGTAGACAATTTCTTTCGAGAAATTGGAAATAATGTTCGATTGCGAGTGATGAGGGCTCGGTATATGTATGTTGTATGCAGCCCCAGGCCCAAATGTGACACCTGGAGTACGAAATCCCAGAGGTCAAGTTTCTAGCGTCCTGTTCCTAGAAGCCGAGTTGGATAGCCAATGGGAATTGGTGTCTCGGACATCTTCGAAATTACATTTCCCCGTTTTGTTTTCACATTAGGGCTTTTATACATAAGTACGAGGTAACTAGAATGGGCTAGATTTTACTTGAAATTTTGAAATATACATCATCATTCCACTATCTTTCTTCTTTCTCGGGGTATTGCTTCACTTACCTTATCTCATTCTGAAACTGCGAGTCATGCCAGCAACAATGATCCAATCGGGACTTCCGCCTTGGCGGCGGTGTGGCCCCCTCGTAAGGAAATTTGCAGACCACTATCTATTTGTGATTTGTGTCACATCGCAAAGCCTAGGCCTTGAATCCTTCGGCTGTTCAGAGGCAGCCTCTTCGCCGATCGTACCAGAGCGTGGAGCGCGGCGAACAAAACCGTCGACCGATCCTCGGCTTGCAATTTGCACAGTTCCCGATCCTACTCAACTTGGGGATTGTGGACACGTCCAAGGAGGATGTCATTTTGCGGCGACGCGTATAGCAAAGTGAGTTACAAAAACCGCATCAACAGGTCATTATTCTAGCTTCAACTGGCGTAACTGGAGAGGATGCGCTCGCTGTGTCATCGCCATGGGAACGCTGGTTCTCTGACGCCACGTTACCCAACCGGAGAAGTGGCGGGCGCTAAAATCGTCAAATTTGGAGATTATTGGTTTCACATCGGACTCATACACAGCGCACTACAGAATAGGGATGATCCATGTCCTTCCTATGGCGGTTGCCGCAATAGTCCGCAATACGACTCTCTGGCGTACCCACACCGCTAGTGTACGCCACGGGGCTATTAGCCCGTGTCTGTCCACGCAAGTCCACAAGCTTATCACCGTCTCACAGCCCGACCTCTAAACCTAATTATAAGGGGCTCAACATCTCCACCCCGGTCGATCGAGCAACATGCTAAACGTCACGTCTCCCACAGCGGCACTTCTCACGAGCCTGGTATGACAAGTAGTTCAATACACCGTAATCTATCGAATTAAGTCCTCGCCCCGGGGGCCGGGGGGGAGGGGGGAGCGCTGGATTTAGGCTGCCTTCGTGGAAATGGTTGTAGAAAGCCCGGTGGGGACCTGAGCAAGCACGCTCTCAAAGGACCCCTCGAATGTGACGTTGGGCCTTCAAGTTGCGTTGGGCCCTGGCGGACCAACACCTGGAGTGGTGTGGGGAGATGCCCTAGGACTATCAGGAGATTTCAGGCGAGGATCTAGCTCGGATCAAAACCTCGCCTAGTTAGGTCGAGAGAGGTCACTTGACTCGCAGAGCCCTGGAGCATCTTCGACTTCTTCTCCTATATTCTTCCTTCGAACCTAACCCACTCCAATGTCGATTCTGTTCAAATTGCCAACGGAAATTCTTTTTCTGGTCTGCGAGAAACTGAGTATCGACGACTACAAAAGGTTAACATCGACCTGCAAGCCCCTGCGTTCAGCAATCTATGATGAACTCTCTGTTCGTCGCCATATCTGCATATCGATTATCGTACGTTCTCCTTGCTATATACTCTCTCTCAGATTCCTGATACCTTCATTAGTTGACTGCACCTCACCACAAACATGATATCGAGATCTGCCATATCGAGGACATTCAATCTTCCCAAAATGCTACGAATCCCGTTCTATACGACGAGGCTGCCAACGCCCTTACGTGTGGTGGGTTCCGCGCCTCCGTTCATGAGAACCCTGGCATTCAGAAACTTGATGAGGACGGTTCTATGGTTATGCGCATCTGGAATCGGTGGCATCAAATGAAGGAATTGTACAAACTGTATCTTGACCCGGAAATTTCGAAGAATTACCGAGATTTCCCTGCTATCTTGATTTTTCGCCCAGATCATTTCCGTCGAGATGATATCCGTGAACTTGCCAGTAATCTCGATGGCAGAGAAAAACCTAGTCAAACTCCAGACACTGGGGACTGGAAGAAAGACCACGAGAGATATTATCAGCGGTTTTATCTGGCACTTACAGCGCTCTGGAGAGGCTTAGCTCTTGGTGTTGCCGAAAGTGCATATCGTCTGAGACCGCGAAAAACTCCTGGTAATCGCCCGGCCCCAAGTGCATACTGGAGTCCTTGCGATGACCCGGTCAAAGCAATCTCGGGCCAGAAAATCAACAGGACACTGGATGACTTGGTGGATATAGTGGAAGTGATGGAATTCGTCTGGGGCTTCCTTGGCTACATAATCCTTTGGCGCCTAAAAGATGAAGTCCCTACACCGAGATACCCTTACCCGACGATGCGGTATTTCAATTGGGAGGCCGATATCGCGTATCTCCGGCCCCCTGATATATTGAAACTTTTCCAACAACGAAGGGAAATTTCTAATGAAACAAAGGATGCTCATATGATGGCTGCTCGACAGCGGGCTATTCCAAAGAACACAATCGGGTTTCGCTACGCTGCGGTAGTGGTAGACGATGTGATCGACTGTTTGGCCAGCTACTCAACAACTTTGGACAAACCATCGCAAAGTGAATGCAAGAAAACATGCAAGGTCAAATGGCAAAATTTTGAGGCTACATGGGAAAAAAGAGATCAGGGGCACGTTATTACGGGGAGAATCGTCTTATAAAGCGAAAGATGGGTATGATAAAATAATGGGGTCTAGTACCGGATTTACTTGAGCGGGTCATCTGTTGGGAGACAGTGTTGTGGCATACTTTAGACAGAAGCAATGAGCTTGATGAGCAGATGATTGAGATTACTCAATGTGTGGAACTAGACGAAACAGACCGTACACGAGGGCATGCCTGTGGTCTCTCGACAATCGTCACCTAGCCAAGAAGTTCAATTTTTACTGCTTCACGACGGCGACGGCGATTGATTAGTGGATTCCAATGCCTATCCTATGGGAGTGGGTGCAAGTAGACTAGAATTATGAACTTTGTCTTTAACTATGGGGGGAAAAGTGGGGCATGAGTAGACTGGAATACTTTTCGTGCAAGGATCGACATGAAAATTTGTACAATTCTAATTAACTCCTGAAAGATTATGGCTCTCCCGGACAATGCTCCTCCATCACCTGTCTTTTTCACCAGCGGTGCCACCTCCATCTAGCCTATTGCCTACGCCACCTGCATCGCCTCCGGACTTGGCTGAGCGACTGAAAACGCCATCTCAACATGTGGAGGAAACACTTCCACCGGTCAATCCAATCGAACAGGAAGCAGAGTCCACACAGGACCTCGGCTATTCTATCTATGGCCGCAGAAGAAGACCCTCACGGCGCTTACTAGAATCACTTGGCAAGGTGTACACAGCAGGCGCATTGAGTAACGCATCTGGGAGTAACATCGACCCGTCGACTTTCCACGAGGCCGTACCCGTTCCGAACCAGCCAGAATGGTGGGCCGCTATTCAGAAAGAATATGCGTCTCTTTTCGAACACGGAACATGGGAAAAGGTTCTGCGAACAGACGTACCCGCCGGAGATCATGTGATTGGCTACAAATGGGTCTTCAAGACCAAAGCTAACGAAACGCGTAACACGCGACTGGTCATTAAAGGCTACCAGTAGAAGCATGGCATCGACTACTAGGGAAATCTGCCGCGGCGTCACTGTTGGACTCGGTCCGCTGCATCGTCGCCAGCGCCGTGTTGCGCGGGTGGAAGCTTCACCAATTTGATTATGTCACTGCATTCTTCATTCTTACATGGTGACATAGACTGTTTCATCTATATGTAGTTGCCCGAAGGCTTCGACGAGCCAGGATATGTATGCCGGCTTCGTCGTTCCTTGTATGGACTCAAGCAGGATCCGCACTCACCGCAGTGGTCAATTGATTGGATACGAGAAATGCTGTGGTATGTCGTTGCCTACTTTTGATGTGTATTCTGGGTTCGATGAATTTGAGTCGCGGTGGATGATGCTCCTAAGAATTCTGGAAGGACCTTCTTCTGCTCAGGAAGCTGTTGATTACTTCAAAAGTGCTTTGAATACTGTCGATAGGAAGTTTGTACGGACGACACTTCTCAGTGGTGTAGGATAATATCACCTTGGTATGGGATCCAGGACTATTCCTTTCGCGGTGCAATCAGAGTGCAGTCGTTTCAAGGGCAAGTTTTTGTTACGATGCTGGACGGAGAACAACGTCCTCAGGCTGTTCTGGCCTATGCTGAAATTTGTCGAAGTGATGCAACCTACCCGTGTTTGACGGAATTGACGAATATGCTCGGAGAAGTCCTCGATCTGTTGGGTGCATAGCACCAAACAACGTGGTGCTTTAATCGCTCGTGTGTAGTCGGTTTTGTGTCGTTTTTCTAGTGGAGTTTATGATGTTCTGCCTGATCAACACGCTGTATTATTGATTTTAAAGTAGGTGTTATTCAATTGGAGAAGCGGAGGATAATCCACGAAATATTTTTCTACGGCAATATTTTCAATTGATGAATCCATGTTCGTTTGAGATGAAGGTATCTGTGTGAAGTTTCGGCACTTCATATATACGTCTGGCCATCATGAGAAAGCAAACTGGGAAATTGCGAAACTCCTAGCTGACCAGGATGGAATGTGTTGAAATAGTACATTGAGGGACTATACAGCATGTAGAAGAAGGAGTATCTTTTGCAAATGAATACTATGAAGTATCAAGAATAAATTGTAAAACTGTCTAATCTCTTCATACATAGACAGAAGCCCATATTTATAGGCTTCTTCTTCTCCCCCTGAGATCTATCCATTTGTAATGGAAACAGAAAGAAAGGGCGGTGATAGCACTGAATGCAGCCTGGATCGAAACCACTTCCTGTGATACAACAAGCTGGCGGTTGTATACAGAAATTGGTGGTATGGACGGCAAACTGCATCGACTAACCTCGATTCCATAGGACCTCGAAGCTCTTGGCATGGGGTTGCATAGTGATTCGTAATGCATAAAGCATGCCGAATTAGGGTTAGCGTTGAAAGCTCCATGTTAATTACTGATAATTAAGCTGGATTCTCAACAGATTCTTCCTGGGGAATCGCATCGGATAATATCACGGCGAAATAATACATGGCTTGCCGCTGAGAGAATAGAGTCTGTAAATAGCCTTGGTGCCATGGCATCGCTCCCTGTCGAGACATCTGCCATTGGTGCTGCTGATTATAGTGCTGTCGCATACAATCAGTGTTGGTTGTGCGGTAGCGGCACTGGTCGAAATGGCAGAGATGGCCAGGTACGGTCGGCTACCTGAGCTGTCGCATCCACAGAAAGTGGAAGAGATCCTGCTTCGATCGAGTATCCCGCAACTTCCACTGATTACATGGAGCTGGTTTCCCACAATACCAGGACGTTCATCGGACCCTGGAGCAATCGCTCTAGAAATTGAGGGAGAGATCCATCGTCATTTCCAGCAGATCGCCTTTGAGGATATCGTACGCTCCGCTCTTGGACACAAAGTTGTGTCAGTAGAGTGGTTCTTTCAGCAGCACATATCATTATACGGTCTTCTTGTGGATCATCTACAAATGTACCCGGAAGAATTTCTGCTTTATTTAGACTTTATTTAGAAGTAGAGGAGGTTGGTGATCTAAGAAGCTGAAAACGGATGATCTGCATACTCCGCCATAGGACAATCGACTAATTGTTTTACATAGCATCTTCGGGATCGAAGTCCCTTTGCCCATCAAGCCCTTTCCCAGCGCATCATGGCCATCCAGATGGCAAGCACAATATGCCTTCACATAGTACTCCAGGATTTTTATTCATCGCGGCCCCAATCCAGCAACTTTTCAAAAACCATTCCTCCAGCCTATCAACTATATTCAAGGTCCTTAGTGTCTTTAGTGTACGGTTCCAGAAAGCCTACAGATATTCCGACCTGTGATGAATTTGTTCGCACCCTTCGAAATTTCTCTTCCTTTGTTGGAAGACTTCCTTTCTTCATCAGCGACCGATTTGGCAAAAGCCTTGACACAGGCCGATAAATATTTATTTAAGCGACTGTGGCGAGAGACACTTATATAAGAAATTCTGTGTTGCAATGCTGCTCTGGACTGTCGGACCTAGTCCCGTAGCTTCAGACGTGCAGATTGGTGAGGACTCCAACTATCGAACATACCAAGAAACTGAAGTTTAATTTGTTTTCTCACAGGAGCTTTATGAGCAGAACTATTATTCTCTAATGCCTATACTAGACGGCCTTTGCAAATATATTGCGGTCGGATCTAGTACATTCCGTGATTTCGCAGCCAGTAGTACTGTCACTCCTGCCTCTATGATATTACCCGAGCCACAATTTCGTTTCATACCGCCAGCGCTTCGATCAGCATCCTGGGAGTCCGTTCCTCCATCCCCATATTCGCGAGTTCAAACAGCGCGGCGAGTCGGTGCTGCAGTCGCTACTTCGGCTGTTCCAAACTATAACTATTTCCCAGCGTGAGGATAATGACCCGGTATCCACCTAATTCCTTATGCCTACGGTACTGTACTTTGCGCTGCGGACATTGAGCACTTCCCTGGTAAGTAGAATAACGCGGCACTTCTTTATGGCGTCAATAAAATGTGCCCCAGGTGATCTACATTGTGGATTAATCAATTGATGGTGAAGTGAAGTTTGCTGGAATATTGTGTTGCTGAACGAGAGAGAGTGAAGCCTGTACGTCATGCTCGGTCCTAGCGTCAGGAACATGAGCTGGGTGAGGATGCAAACCCAGCTCAGCATAGGGAGATGTTGGGGCCATTTGAAACTTGTTCTTGTTGTGATGCTTTCCGCTCACCATAACAATATAATGCTCCGTCTTCGGGCCTTTTGCATTCCGAAGAAATACCCTAGTTTCCAGTATATGGCAGATAGTTGTATCACTTTATGGCCAATATTATACCTCACCTAGGATAGCTATCGGCTTAACCCGGACTGACCGCTTCGAAGTGCCTAACTCAAATTGCCATCAGCAGGGGCATATAAACCAACTAGTGATATAGAGGAAGTAGATGAAAATCTTGTTTTTCGGGAGCTATGCGGGATTCAAGCCGCCAAGTCAGAGAAATGCCTCGGGATGCACATTTGGCCTGAAGAAGTCGACAATATCAATAAGAGAAATCATGCTTTTTGGCTTACCGGCAACGTGCCGGATATTTGTGGCTCTATCCAAATATCGATTTCACTCAGGAGTAAACGCTTCAATCTTCCCAGTCATTGCTTTTGTTACTACCACGCCATAGCGCATCCAGGATCTGCGTAATTAGAAACATATGTTACGACTTTCGCGCAGTGTGTGATAGAGTACGTCTCACAAAGTTTCTATAGCAAGCGCAGATCAGAGGTGGTGGACCTTGGAAGATCAAACACCGGAAGAGGGTGTTTCAAGAGGCTGGAGATGTTAGTCCTTCGCCCCTTCCCTTCAATTTGTCAGTCGTATTATCGAGAAACGACTCTAGTACCCAGCGGAGTAGGGGGGAAAGAGCAAACGGGCTTGGTGTCATATGGATACCCTGTGGGCAAGGATCATAGTCTCGTGGTTGAATATTGAACAGGCGTAGATTTTAGCTGAGGCCCTGAGGGTATTCAGGGACATCCTTTTGATCAGAAGGGATAGAGTCAGAGTATGGTACAGTATGCGACATATTAATCAGATGGTTCTTACCTCAACTTATCTTGAATCAACAACGCGCGCGAGCTATCTCCCACTGCAGCCGCAGACCTTCTGGCCGGGGGTCTGACTAGCGCCTTTGGGACACACCAAAGCATCCCACCGGTCGTTGAGAGGAACCCTTTGTTCGAAGCATATGACATGGGTGGTGTGCTGACCCTTGTCCTATACGGCATCTTGGTCGAGCAAAGACAAGCGATCGTGTGACGAAGAGACGGATGGGAGAGGTCAGTAGTTTGATGGGCCTGATAACTATCATTTGGACCACCAAATTACAATCAAACGATAAAGTCCAAACAAGTCCAGCCAAAGTTCGGAGTAAAATATCATATCTTGATGGCTAAGACTTTTCAGGCTCAGGTGCGAAGAGCTTTATTCGGGGGTGAGTTGGATGATTCAGTAAGTTTGAGCATAGCAGAAGGGAAACCGAGTGGACGTGACATTGCAACTGGGGGATGAATTGTATCTGACGGTAGGAGGAGTAATGGTGGCATGAGGCAAGCAGGACTAGAATGGTCGGATGCTTTAGGAAAGGTGGAAAGTAGGTGACCCAGGTGAGTCTGACTTACCTAAAACTGACAGTCAGCGGTTCATCTCTTCTCCCCTCAAGCTCACGCCTCGCACCCAGGACTCAACAACAGGTGTACAACTACAAGAAATTGAACTATTTTGTTTATCCGGACAGACAAATACATAACCGAAAGCTCTTTTTGACATTTCCCATCAACGGCCTTGCACAAATCATATCGCAGGCAAGTGAGCAACGCAACTTCTGAGATACCCTCACGCTACTGCACCTTCACTGTACAGCAAGCGAATGAAATACTTCCAAAGGCTTGCTGTGGGCTAATAGGTTAAGCATCCCGTCTAGATCGAAGATATGCCCAAGAAATGTCGGCTTCCTACCCACCGCCTTCCCCCTCCAGCATCCCCTTTCCCCTTCCCCTTTTCCACATCCATTCTGTGGTTGCAGACCCAGTCGCACAACTTTAGCGCTTGCTGGCAACATTTTGTAGACGAAGACTTGTTCCCTACCCAGCTGCCGATTTTGATCACACAAGCAGGAGGCGGCCCTTTCAACAAGCCACGGATGCGATAACAGGATGTCCATGGAGGTAGTAACACAAACTCTCCGTTGAATCTCAGAATCATTATTGCAGTGGAAGCCACAAGCTAATGATTACGTTTTTCCTGCAGAATCTTTCCGTGAAATAATCAGTCCGACCCCGTGTGCCATATGATGAAGTGGTACCAATGATGCATCTGTGAGACAAATATACTCCAGTTCCCAAATCCCAGAGGAGACCTTAGAGATCGGTGTTTACAAGAAACCTCCCAACGTACCTCTGCATTCCAACCGGCTGGCGACTGCAATGATAGCGCCCACTACAAGGCATCCATAACACAGGAATAATACTAGCTGGACATGATGATATTCATTCTGTACCGCAAAATAGGGATGGAAGCACCGAGATAAGCAACCGGTAGAACATTAGAATAGTGTATTGGAACCCAGTTTAGGGAAGGGACAGAAGCTCTCATTGCTCCAATACGGGGAGAGCGGCACTGAGCCTCTCGGATATGTGACATATCAGAGAATATATTCACAGAATATCAGAATGAGATTTGGTAAAAGAAGAAAATAATATCCGACACGAAAAGGCATGGAAATACCAAAAGTCTATTCGTGAACCCCATGGAGAATAACGTCATTTCACTTGCTAATATTTGTCTGGGTAAGTCTTTCTATCCATCTACCAATATCAAAATAGACCAGCGCGCTCTGGACTAGGTAGTACTCCTCCGCATAAATCAGTATATATCTCAACAGCTCGAGCGCCTGATCCCTGATAATAAAGCTTTGCATGGGGCCTGAAGCAGTGATGCATTCCGTGAGAATTGAATTCAGACTTTCGAAAGGAACAAGCACCTGAGCCGCTGTACCGGATGCAATTGGGATAGTTGTTGCTTTAACTCCATCGATTTCCGCCATCCAATGATTAATTATCTCAAATTCCAGGTTTAATACGCGGTAATCCATAGCGATCCTGCGCAAAACCCTCAGTGAGTTTAAAACATGTCCCTTCAAGGTTTTCTGGAGAGCCTTGACCGGAGCTTGAGCAGGGCTTTCTTGATTATATGGAGGGTAAACAAACGAGCGAGAGTGTGGGCCCTGCGTGGCTGAATCGTGCATCAGAGGTGTTTTCGTTGTGCTAAAGGAGTCTACTTAGCCACTGTGGCAAATAGAAGTTGGGGGTACAGCCATGCAATCCTCGTTTCATCGTCTCTGGCTGGTTGGTTGGCCCTGCTAGCCACCTTAGATACCTTTCGACGTGCGGTTTTGGTTGTCCTCCAGACTCGGGCCTTTGAGTGTTTTCTGTCCTCCAACCCCCGGTGCCGTTTGTGTGTTTCTTTATTCTTGGCTTCCGGTGGAGGCGATGTGGGTGCCGGCCGAGGTCTCATTGCTCGATATCCCGAATTTGGCCGGGGAGAGTGAGTGATGGTTGGAGGCACAGATCCTGCCGCCCAGCTCTCCGGTTGTTGAACGCTCGAATGGATACACCTTTCTGGACCTATCTCTGGAGCTACTAGATTGTATGTCGGACCATAGGGATAGTTTGTTGGGACTTCCGTGGACGGGAAGCCAGTGACGTTGAATGGGTTTCCGTCATGAGACATACTGCCGCAATAATGAATTATCTTGGGGCCATTTATGTCCAGATATCTCACGAGGTTGGGTTACCTATAAAAAGTTTCATGGAGCAAGGTTGACGAGTAGGAATGAGGTTGTTTGCTGCCTTGAGGACAAAATGCGTGCGCAGATCTGAAGGGGTAGACTGTGTCCCTGTGCATGACACAGAATTGCCTCCTAGCTGGGAGTACACATCGGCTGCACTTACCGCCGGGGAAACCCCCTAGGAACCAGACTTGCAAGGGTCTGGTGAATCACGATAGGCGATCTTGCCTCGTCGAGGTGTTCCATGCGACCCGGATCGACCTCAATTTTGGTCTGAACCTTCTCGCTGCCTACGTCCTTGGCCCACTACAACCTGGCCACCTTGGTGGCGGATTCTTTAATGTGTACGGAGGTACAACCGGTAGATTTACCTCCCTTGCGGTTGGAGTCTAGCCTACGCAATAAACACTAGAGCTAGGAATATTGTTGCTTTCACCTTCCAGACTCTGCCTCATTTTTTTTGTTTATAATCGCACCATGGGCACAATTTTTCCATTAGACTCGTCATTCATTTATTTGGGGCGAGCGGATAATGACTTGGCCATCATTGGCCACTGAACCTCGATAGCTGGAAGGCCCGTGGACTTCGGTCTGAGCCCTCTTACGCTAACGGTCATATTGACGCCCCAGCGTCTAGCAATTTCCCTGTAGGCCCACTCAGTAATTTTACTGAAAATTCCATGACAATGCTATTACGGTGTATCAGTGGATTATGCTAGTGCTAAACTGGGGTACAAGAAGGGCTGGTCTTCTTCCATCTCCACCTTCTTCATATTTCTTCCTTTGATCGGTATCAACACTGACTACCCAAAATATTCTCGCTTTAGAGAGTACCATTTATATTATGGCCATCATATACTTGAAGAAAGAGTTACCTCGTCGAACTAGTCAACGCTCTGATCAGGAAGCACCAAAACCTGGGGAAGGGACGGCGCAATCGCTGGCAAATCAGAACCATACAGTATGCTTCTGCCAAAGCTTTCATTGTCAGTCGTGTAGAGTCACTTGCTGAAGATTATTTCACTAGTCTTCTTCTCCAGGCTCTGAGGCTAA